GGGTCTGTATACGCACAACAAACTTCATACCGGTGAGAAACCGCACTCTTGTTCGGAATGTGGGATGAATTTCACGCTGTCATGGAATCTAAATGCACATAAGAAAATTCATACCGGTAAGAAGCCGTATTCTTGTTCGGAATGTGGGAAGAATTTTGCCCAGCCAGCGGGTCTGTATATGCATAAAAAAGTTCATACCAGTGAGAAGCACTCTTGTCTGAAAACAAAAGCTTTTCCCAATCAGGGAATATGAGAAGACACATGAAGGTTCATGGCAATGCTAGGCTCAGATTCAGTTGAACTACACGCGGTAAAGCTTTCCCTGTGGAAATTCTCTTTGAAATCACACATAATGGGCTGATAAACACATTTTAGACTGAAATACGCATTGCAATTTTGTTGTATTTTCTATGAGATTAATTCGTTTTTCCTTACTGTATTGTTAGCATTGTATTATTTTACATGAAAATTAATATTATTCTTCTATTCTTTTTTACTTTTCTTATCGTAATGAATAAAATTTCCTCTGTTTGAAGATTGAAGATCTTGAAGATCTTGCAATTAAGTATTAGTATTACTAAATTACTGATGAAATGACATTGTCTCAAGTGGATTTCTCACTCGATTATTGCACAAACAACACTGAAGTAAAATTTTGGCAACGAAAAGTCTTTTTCTTAATCACAGCAGTTGAGATCTCTCATCATTTCATAGGGTCACCTGTCCACTTCGTTTGTCAACTCACAGTTAACTTGCAAAGTTTCGTTAAGGGCAATAGGCATTTCATTTTCATCATCTTCATCATTTCAAAATGTGGAAATAAATTTAAGAAGCAAATATTAGTTTCACTGGAATTGCTCTAATTAATCTCAAATTAACTATTACTGTCGGAAAATCAATATCAAAATCATATAAATGCCCAATTCTGCTCTCCAGTCAAGTATTTTTCACTGAAATTTAAATCTTATTGGACAATGCTTCAGCTTCGATCGGTCTTGGGGACAATGAAATTACCACAAAAATAAAATTACCGGTATCAAGTATTGGACTTCTTTCATTTTAATATTATGCCGGACATATTTGTATGACACATCTATATGAATTATTTTTCACAATGTAATATGACAGCTGAAATGAAATTATTCAGTATAAAGTATTGAACACTGATTGCTATTTAATATCGCTACACGTCGACGCAGGTCATCGATTGTGTTTTTGCATTATTGATTATTGATCATTATTGTTTTTCGCATTACTGATTATTGATGCATTGAAACTCGTCGGACCTGTCAGCGATTTGGTACTTTCGTTGAATGTAAATCAACTATTCCGCAATTCAGTGGTGTGAGACTGTAGTTGGGATGGATTATCGATTGAATGAAATGTAACTTGTAAATGGCATAACTGAAATGCCTATTCTCTTCAACGAAACTGTGCAATGGAACTGTGAGTTGACAAACGAAATGGATGCTAACCCCATAAAATGATGGGAGACTTCAAGTGTTGTGAAAAAGAAAAGTCTTTTTGTTGCCAAAAATTTACTTCCATGTTGTTTGCGTAATAATCGAGTGAGAAATTTATATGAGACAATATCATTTCATCAGTAATTTAGTAACTCAATTGCAAGTTCTTCATGCATGGCATGCAGGTTGCCTGCTCATCATATATTCGCATTAATAATGAAAAAAGCTGTTTAGTTATATGCAAGTGAACATGAAAGGGGAAATTCTATTCACTACGATAAGAGAAATGAATACAGTCGAAAATTTATAAATATGTACTCTATAACGTACGCAGAAAAAAGAAATAAAATTAGTTATAGCAGAAATACATGTG